TATATAGTGGCTTGTTTGGCTACCAAACTATCACGTAGCAAAGATCAGTGTATAATGTAAAGTAATTTAATATTAGTGAGAGAGAGGTACACACACGAGGTAATTGAGTCACGATTATCAACATAGCTAATGATATAATATATAATATATCACGGTAGGTTTATTCTAGTACGACAACTCTTATGACAAATAATCGAGTGAAGCAACTGAGGTGGAGTTTTGCATGGTTAGCTATATAGAGAGTAGTAGTGACGGGCATATTTGAGGGAATTATCTGTTTATATTTTAGTAGAGAGAGTTATGATATTATAGTGTAATTTTAGTTTTATGTATGCTAAGTATGTTGTTGTTAGTAGGTTGTTATTTAGTAGAGCTTAGTGGAGTTGTTTTTACTTTTTTATTAATGTTGTTGTTATAGGTTACCTTGCTAATATTTAGTTTATTTTGTATTATTTATTTATTTGTGTAGATTAACTTAAATTTATATTTATTATAATTGTTATAACAATATATATAATGTATATATATATAAGCAATAAATATAATGTTATAATTATATAGTTGATAGTTCCATTGATTAATTTTTCTATAGGTTATGTTGAGTTATTATATATTCAGACTCCTTATATACACCATGTGTGTATTGTTATGAGAAAAAGACATGAGGTACGAGACAAAAAAGTGCGAGTAATAAGAGTATGTGAGGGAGGGAAGAGCTCAGAGGTAGTAAGAGATACATGGTCACTGCTATATATATACATAGAATACACATAAATAGCACAAGTTATGGAGAGTAGAAGAGGACTACACCAACATATCTATCGGTATACTATATTAATACTACAATTAGCTATACTATATATGTTATATATATGTATACTCATAGATACATCATAGATAATACAAGTAGTAAATTAACTATAGAGGATACATACTAATCATAATATCAGATATAAGACTAATCGATATGCTCATACATATACATAAATAATAGTTATGTATATTGTATATACAATACATATATACATAAATATAACTATTATATATATAGTATATAATATAATATATACTACAATATCGATAGAATAGTACGACATCACTAGGAGGATCAGACATAATAAGAATAGGGGTGAGAAGACCAGCTAGACGGGACTAGTGAGGTACTGCTTGAGATACATCTATGAGGCTGAAGCGACATGAGTACATTGATCTGGTGAGCGACGTACGGCCTCACGTAGGCAGAGTAGTCATTATTAGTAGAATTACAGTAGTCAAAGTTAATAAATTATCGAGTTAAGGAAAAGGCGTAGGGATATGGAGAATGGAGGTGTGTGTGTGAAAGTGGTAGTATATGGTGGATATAGTATTTAGGAGGATAGGTATATAGTGTAGGGGAGTAGAGGTAAGATAGGTGAGGAGAGGAGGAAGAGGATATAGAGGAAGGTATAGTAGTATATATATATATTATAGATAGTAATAGTATATAGTAGTATATATTTATATATATAATGTAGTGGTATAGGAGAATTCCATATATAAGTATATATACATATATATATATTATAAATAATATATAGTAGTATTATATATATATATAAATAATATAGTAATTATATATATAATAAATAATTATATATATACTTACAACATATATAGTCACAAGTAGTTTATATATAATGAATGAGCAGATAATATAGTAGGTAGATAGGTTAGAATAGATAGATAGATAGATAGATAGATAAGATAGAAAGATAGAGTAGATAGAGTAGAAGTGATATGGATATATATTGGTAAGGTGTTATATAGTATTAGGCATTGATATAATGATAATATATAGTAGTATATTCATATAGTATATATAGGGGTACTAGGGGATCAATATTGATTATAGTATTAATATATATATAAGTATATAGTAATGTAATGTAATATAAGGAAGAAGTATTAGTATGATTATATAGGATATATATATATATAGATTAATTACTAGGGTTTATATAGTAATATATATAATATATATAGCGAGCATATATATATATATTGATATATGAATATATTTAATATATTAAATATTAAGTATAGTAATATTTATATATATAATAAATAATATAATAATAATATATAGAGTATAAGTAAGATATGTAGAATGGTAGTAATATAGTTATAGATAAGTAATATATAGTATATAGTATAGTAGTTAGTATATGTATAATATATATATATAACATAATATAGATATATGGTATATTATAAGTAAAGTAATAATATATCATATGCTATACCCGGATATGAGTAAATATATCAATATATATATATAGTATATAAGGAATATAAGGAATATATATATAAACGTCTGGAGAGTGAATAATAGTATATATATTATAAATATTATATTATATATTGAAAGTATAATAGTATATAGAACGGATGAAGGCACACTACGAGTAGATAAGGATAAACTGTATATAGGGTAATATAACTTATATGTAATGGGTATATAAAGAAAAGATAAAAGTAAGGGGAAGAGTAAATTGCGCGCAAGAAATAGCTATGGGAGCGAAGGAAGCGAGAAGAAAAACGGAGGGAGAAGAGATATAGGGAAGATGATAAACAGTGGGAGACATAGATACGATTGAGAGAGTATTATTAGTTCAGCAGTATTATTTTTTATTCGTTTGTGTATTTATTTATTAAGTTTATTTATTTATTTATTTCAAGACAGGACTTGAGGCAGGCAGACACTCAGTCAGAAATAGGTAGGGGGGGGAGGGGGAGGTTGGTGGAGGTGGTGAAGGAAGGAGGGGGTGGGGAGGGTAGGTTGATAGAGGAGGAAGGGAGGGAGGTGGCGGTGGAGAGGGAGGTAGGAGGAATAGGATGGAGGAAGGCGGAGGTGAGTAGGGAGGAGGGAGGGAGGTGGAAGTGGGGCAAGGAAGCAGAGGGAGGGGGAGGGGGAGGGAGGTTTATCTGGCCTAAACAGCTGTTTGCCGCACCTGGCGCAGATGTCAATTGTCCTGTGACGTCATGCTTTGTATCTTAATTGGAGGGGGGAGGGGGAGGGACGGGGAGGGGAGTGTGGGGGGAGAGCCCATATGTAGTTCCGCAATTTTTTGAAATGTTTGGCGGTCATGCAAAAAAAAAAAAAAAAAAAAAAAAAAAAAAAAAAACTTTGTGCTCGCATATTTTCCTTGTGTGTGGCCGTGGTTCGTGCGTGTTATGTTTCTGTTTGTTTGTTTTTATTTTTGNTCTCTCTCTCCCCTCCCTCTCTCTCTCTCTCTCTCCCTCTCTCTCTCACCTCCTTTCCTCCTTCTTACTTCATATACAATGTTCAGTACGTGGTAGCAGTTTCACTTATTTTAGTATTTGCAAGGAATTTGAGCTCTTTTCTATTATTTTTGAAATGCAGGTGGACGGAGATTCGTTATACAATATATTTCTCATATTACATAGCCAATTTTCATCACAGCGATAATACAATATTTCTTTGGATATAATTTCTCATTTTGAAATATATTGTTAGTGCATGAAAGGCATTGAAGAAGAATGGGAAATTGAATCAAATGAAATATTGACACTATATATGACAGTTTCCTTATATGGTGTTGACAGAACGTAAACACATCTGAATATTTTGAAGGTGTTTTGGTCGTGACGTAAGCACATAGGCTAGTAAGGTTATCCACGTACGCCTATGCATTGTTTGTGAATATCTCTTTACCTGAGTGATCATATGTATGTTGATCATCATATCATGTAATAGGACGTTTAATAAGCAAGTGAAATCAGTAGGAGACCCATCTATTTGAACACAGTGTAGGTTAGTCCAAGGTTCACTCGTCATTGGCTGGGTGAGTTGCCGGGTGTCGGCGGTGGGAAAATTAATTTGCGGTTTTATTGGGTTTGAAATACATTTTCAATTATTTTCTGGTCGTTTAAGTTCGTCTTTGTTTAGGGTGGGGGTGATTTGGCGTGTGGGGTAAGGGAATCAAGTTATGTCTGTCGGTGGGCTTCATATTCGAAATCTGAAGAGACATACGTCAATAGCCCAGTGTCAGCTGATGAACAAAGCGATTCGCAGGAAGTCGTTATTCGGGTTTTTGGAAACTGACTTTCCTCTAGGACGATTCTTCCTGTTCCTGAAGGGTGATTTGGCCCCAAAATTGCCCGAAAGCAGCAAAGACGTGGCTAAAAAGAGTGCTTACTAGGGAACTAGTTCGCGGGTCGGAGGCGGGTGCGTGCGGCGGCGCGCTGAAGCATCCTCCTCAGCCGCGGCCGCTCAGTGTAAACAAAACCTTGGTTGGGGAAGCACGGTTCTCTCGGGATCTCGCCTAATTCTGTACAAATTCTGTCTGTGATATTTTCAAACGGCTTAATCGCTTAAGCCTAGGATCTCTCCCATGAAGCAACATATCTGAAGCCTCTCGCTCGTACCATGAGAGAGGCCACACGCCGCGCAGGCCGAATTCGAGCTAGTTTGGGCCCAAGATCTCCCTTCGGTGTCGCTCTCTATGCCGTCGTGCGAGGCCTCCGTCGCCGCCGCCGCCGCCCCCGTCTCTCCTCTTTGCTAAGCATGCCACAACAACACGGCACGATGGAGTAACGCAACTTCGTAACTTGCAGGTACTTTGGAGAAAGAGAGAGAACGCTAAGGTGGAAAAAATGAGTGGCGATTCATAAAAAATCCGGAATAGTCTTTCTCTGTAAGGGAGAGCTTTCGATAGGTTTTGCTGCACCGTGTGTGTTACGACGGAGTTTTTCGGGGAGGAATTTTCCGTTTGTATATACTCGTTGACGATCGATATCTGTGGGATGTGTTAAAGTGTTGGAATGAGTTTTATGTAGAACTGTTGTCTGCTGGTGTGTCAATAAAAATAGATAGAGAATTGTGGCTGTGAGAAGCCTGTTTATACGTGAGCTCCAGGAACGGGCCAATCGATTAGAACTTTTGCTGTGATCTGTGTCTCCCTTTCGCCGAGTGCTAACGTCTTTTCTCCTTTCCGCAGGTGGTGCAGCTGTTGGTGTGGGTTGTGTGTAGAGTGAGCTGGTAATTAGAAGAGAAGATGGCGTGTGCACAGTCTCCTGCCACAGGCGCAGCAGAGAAGGGCCAAGACCTGCTAACGCCGTTGCTTGAGGCACTGACACTCGAGCCTAAGTACCAGCCCGCCTTGGCACTCCCGCACACTGCTAAGGTAAGTTTTAAAAGGTCTTTGTTGGGTGGGTTTCGGGAGGTTGTTCATGGCTTAGTAGAGGCAGAGAGTGGTGGGGGTTTAGATTGTGTTTGGGAGGTCGTAGGTTCAGGTTTAATGTTTTGGTTTGGTTTCCTTGCTTTTTCCAGTTCTCGCTATTCTATTTTTTTTTATTATCTTACTTCCTCTTCCCTTGTGGTGTTCCTGTACCGCTGCTTGTCTTCGTGTGTGATAAGCTCGTAGGCTTATAGTGAATTGTGAACGATTATTTCTGGCTCGATGTATAACGTTATCGACAGTTGTCTTTAGTAAGGAAGGAACGAAAGATAGAACTTCTCGCTCGGGATGGTGCGCATGAATGCCAGGCTGACGCAACACGGCAAGCAGATTCAAAGAAAAAATCAGATATTGTGGCTTCGGGGTACCGCGCTTCTCTGACAAGCATTCCTTTTCTGTGGTATCCCATTCCAGGCCGTTCGCATGGGTTTCGGGAATCGCTGTTGCCATAGGAACGAAGGGAGGAGGGAGGGAGGAGTGGGGGTAGGGCGCTCTTTGTTTTCTTCCCGAACAACCTTTTTCAAATTTAAAGGTCCAGGTAGTTGAGAGAGCGGGGAGGAGGGGCGCTGCTGTCCCGTCTCCCTACCCCTCCCTCCCTCCTCTCATCCCCCACACGCCCGTATCCCTCTCCCCTACCTCCTTCCCGTTCCTTGTTGGGAGACTTGCTTTTTTGTTTTTTTATTTGTATGGTTAGGGTTGTTTTCGGGTTGGGGAATGTGTCTTGCGTGTGTGGTTTCGAAGAGTGATGATGAACGTTTAAGCTCGACGGGCGTTTAATTGGAGGATAAAGTTCAAAGTAGCAAGTATTGATGAGTGAGAAGAGACACCCGAGCCCCGCCCCTTAATCTCTCTCCCCCTCCCCTCTCCTCCCTTTCCTCCCCACATCCTTACCTCTCCCTCTCCCCCTCCCCACGCTCACGGCAACTATTGCTCTCTTGACGTCGATTCCCTATCTCCTTTCCCCTGCGTGTGTCTTGAGTGTGTTTCATGTGTTCGCCTCCCCCTCTTGCACGCCAGTGAATCCCCGCCCCACGGAACCAGCGCAACGAGACGAAAATGTGACATTTGTGTAAGCCACGGGCAGCTCCCTTCCTCCTCCCCTCCCCCTCCCTCTCCCTCTCCACCCACCCCTCCCTCTCCCTCTACATCCATCCCTCCCTCCACTCTCCACCCTTCACCCCTACCCTACCCCTCCCCCTCCCCTCCCCTCCACCGTGGTCCACCCCCAGCGGGCCCCTCAGTCAGCATCGCACAGGGCTGCCAACCTCGCCGACGCCTCCGCTCGATGACGTCGGTTTTAGTAATCGGCGTCGTTGTCGCTGTTTTTTGTACGAATTGTCCGTTCGATTGGCGTGGGCTTCTCGGCTTCGTAGCGTTCGTGTTTCCGGAGGGCTTATGCGCCGTTTTCGAGGGTCTGGTGTTGGTAGACCTGAGCCAAGGAGGAGATATTGATGACGCAACGGTAGAGTGACTGACCTCACGGAAGTTCTAGACTGTTCGTTGATGTTTAGATGGATGTAGGGGTCGGATTCTGGCGTGGTTGGTCGTATTAGCACGTTCTGTAACGATCAGCACTTTCGGAGCTAAGGGAAGGAGGACAGCAGCGATCGCGGTGTCACTTGACCTACTTTAAGCCACTGTCCTTAGATTTCATTATTGCTAGCCTTCTAAGTCAATAGAGCGTCTAAGTGTCGTTGGTCAAGAAATCCTCTCAATGAGATACACGGAGCTTGGGGGATTAGTGTGGATTAGGGATCGAGCAGTGCCTTTGAAGGGGTGGCGAGAGGTTACTGAGTACGCAAGGGCCACTGGCTTGGCACAGGGTTGGCACTCCCTCTTTCTCCCCCCCCCCCTCCACATCTCTCTCCTCCTCCTCTCCTCCTCCCTCCTCCTCCTCCCTCCTCCTCCTTTCCTCCTCCTCCTCTTTCTTCTTCCTCTTCTTCCTCTTCTTCCTCCTTATCCTCCACCTCCCCCTTTCGCATCTCTCCAAACTTGAATTCGGAACCTGAGAGGGGATCTAGGCAACAGGGGCAGTATGTTGTCATCTTCATTGTTGTGGGAGATCCTTGTGCTAATATGCCATCTCCTGTTACTCTCTCTCCTTAGAGCCCTCCCACACAGCTACCTCCTTTTCTCCCTCTCACACAACCCCCTCCCCAGGTACAATCAAGGGAAGCACTTGCTCAGGAGAGATAGTGAATTGGTTTAGGCTTATCCCCAACTGAGGTAGCTGGAGTCATTACTTTTTTTTTCTGCCTTCTCTACCTTGAAAGTGTTGTTGTTTTTTTGTTTGCTTTCTCTTGTTTTGATCCAGCTGTCTCTTGGTTATGGCTAGGAAGGAGTATTTATGGGGGATATTTTTATTTTTTAGATTTCCTTTTGTTCTGTTGTGTTATGGAAACATTCAATTCAGATTTGGAATATTTGTCCCATGTTACTAATGGTTCAATTCTTCTCCAGCAGGAGGATGGTGGGGAGATCAGCATGAGGATGCGCAATGGTTCGGACCCATGTGCTGCGTTGCTTGAAGGTGTGGTATGACCTTCCACCCGATACCTTTTTCAACGCAGTCAACATCATGGATCGTTTCCTCACACGCATGAAGGTAAGTAGAGCTCGCATGAAAACCAGTGGTTTGCTCAACATTCTGGATGATTTTGAAATAGACAAGTTGTATGAGCGGCGTTATGAAGTGTTCCAGTTTGGTAAAGTGTCTTTCCGTTTCTTTCCAGGCTCAGCCAAAGCATTTGTCTTGCATGCTGTGAGTGCATTCCATCTTTCATGGCCAGTTCACCCCTGGTTACAGCCATCTGAGGGATGTGCCCCAGGGTGCCAGACACCAGAGACCTCACCACCATCTCTCAGTGCAAATGCTCGTCAGGTGATGTGACCCGCATGGAGCGCATCATCATGGACAAGCTGGCCACAGACCTGCGCTGCCAGCCACCCGTTACGCCCCTTACGCTGCTCCGTCTCCTGCATGCCGCTCATTCCCATCTGGCTGCCCCCACCTTGCCAGTCCTCACACCCTACATCCCTCACCACCCTTGTGCACAAGCTGGAGATCGTGGAGTGCGACGCAGCAGCTGCCACATTCAGACCGTCAGAGCTGGCCCTGGCTCTTCTGGCACTGGAACTGAGGCACGATGCAGCCAATGAGCAACTTCACAATGCTTGTATAGATCATCTGCAAAACATATGCAAGGTAAGGTATTATTTTTAGGTTTCATTTTTTAAATGTGGTTAATCATATTGAACTATAGTACTTAAAAAGCAGAGATTTTAAAGTATTTGCTTAATAATCATAGTCAACTTTTGTACCTATAAAGCTACAGTATGTAAGTCATTTCCCAAACAGTAATGGAGTCAGGAATTGAAATTTAAAAATGTGTATGGAGAGTCTTGACATTATCAATTTTCACCAGGTGGCTGACGACAGCTTCAGTAAGTGCCAGAAGGTAGTAGCTGAACTGATGGATCAGTATGAAAACCAGAGACACTCCCCCCACCGACAGCGTCTCGTATGGAAGCTCTCCAACAGAACTCTTCGACAGCTGAGACCCACCGACAAGTTCACCACTCGGCTGCCCACCATTGTTGAAATGCAGGGTCCCTCACATCCTCCTATCATAAGGCCGAGGTATGTATGTTCTGTGGAAGACTTGTGGCTATTTTTTTGTTGTTCTTGTTATTTTAAAAAATTGTATGTGTTATACTTTTGAACTTCAATATTGATACCCATCAGTTTTCATAATTTTTCAGATATTCTCATCATTAGATGTCTTGCATGAACTCTTTATACAAGAAATGTACTTACAATTGCTTTTTCCTTTCCAGAACGGATAGCGAGAGCTCGGAGATGTACATGTCATCTTCCGAGGAGGAAATGGATTATGATTACGATGAAGAGTTCCCCCCACTCCCCACTCCAGCAACCTCAATGAAATCTCCTCGGAAATTGCCCAGCCAGTCACCCCATAAGAAGGTCCCCCCCTTTCTTCCTTATCCTCAAGTTAACCGAAAACATAACCGCCTTGCATAATTGTGTTTTTGCTGTGCAGCGCACCTAGGGCAAGCAAGAAACTACAACCTTTGCCACGTTAAAAAAAAAATAACAAGTATCGATGTTTACTACAGATTTTATATATTATTTTAAGTTCCTAAGTGTGCAGTTTTGGATGTTAGTTACAGCATTTACTATGTGAATCTTGGCATTCTGTTGCAGCATAGGTCTATATCAGTTTTTGGCCGTGTTAGCTGTTCAGAAGACCCCAGCATCTTTCAGTCTGGTCGTCTTGCTCTGTGTTCTGACTTCCCAAGTTGAAACTGCACAAAGCTTTCTTTTAAGCACCATACAACATTTTTAACTTCATGAACACTTAATGCAGTGTTCCTTGCTTTATATATTTTTTTCTTTTGACAGAAGTCTTGTTTTCCTCAACTGTGTACTACTGCTTCTTAGCATGATTTTCTTACACGTAAATCTTACATTTTAAGCAAAAAAAAAATATATATGAATAAAAAATGGTTAAAACTGACCACCGAAAAGTGATACTTTCAAGGAGTAGCAGTAGCCGAGAAGGAATTTTAGTTTGTTTCCCTTTTTCCTCCGTGTTTTTTTCCACGCCAGGAAAGATGCACAGAGGAGAAAGTGACTAGCAGGTCGTCTTGCTGTCCTTATTCAGACAGGCCCTGTAGGGCTCACTTATTTTTGTCTGTCATTTAGCTTCATCTTTGCCATAGGAAATTTGTCTTGGTCT